ATGTATTTTTTTGTTAGGTTCTCTTTAGTGGGATTCCAACATTGTTCAATACATATATCTCTTGTACGTGGTGCCTCACTCTACATTTTATATATCATTATTTTGTTATACTACATGGTGCCTCAATCTACATTTTACATATCATTATTTTGTTATACTACAAGGTGCCTCATTCTACATTTTATATATATTATTCTTTTGTTATATTACATGGTGCCTCACTCTACATTTTATATATCATTATTCTGTTATATTAAATGATGGTGCCTCACTCTACATTTTACATATCATTATTTTGTTATACTACATGGTGCCTCAATCTACATTTTATATATCATTATTTTGTTATATTACATGTGGAAACTGTTTTAGACTCTCATTAAAGCTCTGCTTTTAAGCTTGAAATTCACATACTTGGAATACATGTTACACATTACCTTACAAAGTGTAGCACTAACTAATCCAAGCAAGCACAGAATTTTTATGACGTGGAACGTATGTATCGCTTAGTCACAAATACGTGACTCAAGTACTGGATACTTCCGAATCATAAACACTTTCAGAGGATGCTCTTGAAGAATAAACTCACTGACTCAGTGTTGAGGGGGGAGTAGCTCCCCTCTGACTCAGGGTAAATTTATTCTTGCATTGAGAGGGAGGAGTGGCTTTGGTTTTTAAAACAAAATAATATAATTAGCATTTTGATTTTTTGTTGATTTTTCTTGATAAGCACAGAACACAATGTGCTATCTTTGCTGTGCTCACCACGAGTATTGGAAGGGGAGGGGCTAGACATTTTAAGCAAACCGTTTACTTAATTGAATTGTGAATGTAACTTAACCTATCATCATTCACTTGCACCTTGAACGTCACATATGAACCTCTCTTCTAATCTCATACGTTGAACCAAAACAACCAGTTCCTGTTATCACGTTCACGAGCATCAGCTCCATATCAACTAAATGTAGCTGTGTATCATATATGATACTCAGGTGCTTTAACATTATGTCTTGTGTATCATATATGATACTCAGGTGCTTTAACATTATGTCCTGTGTATCATATATGATACTCAAGTGTTTTAACATTATGTCCTGTGTATCATATATGATACCCAGGTGCTTTAATATTATGTCCTGTGTATCATATATGATACTCAGGTGTTTTAGCATTATGTTCTGTGAATCATATATGATACTCAGGCGGTTTAACATTATGTCCTGTGAGTGACATGATACTCAGGCGCTTTCGAATTATGTCCTGTGAATAACATATGATACTCAGGCACTTTAGTATTATGTCCTGTGAGTCACATGATACTCAGGCGCTTTAGTATTATGTCCTGTGACTCACATATGATACTCAGGCGCTTTAATATTATGTCCTGTGAGTCACACGTGATGCACAAGACAAGGATATGGTTAACTGTTTTTTCCTTTTTTTATATATAGTTGTGAATTCTTTATACCTAAACCTATAAACCGACTAAAATAATTTTATTGACATTCCACTCATTTTTTTTGCTTCATTCAATGATTTAAGCATTCCTTCATGCTGATTTAAAGCACAATTCATTACAGGCTTCTACAGATTTGACACATTTCACACGTGTCTTATTTACTCCATACAGGCCTGTACAGATTTGACACATTTCACACGTGTCTTACTCCGTACAGGCCGGTACAGATTTGACACATTTTACATTTGTCTTACTCCAAGATTGGCGCCAAACAATTTGCCAGTCACTTTGTCAAATCAGTTGTTAACAAGTTCAACCCTCATACTACAGACGTTTGTGATGTCGTCTTCGTTAGGCTTTTAGAATGAATATAAGAACTAACACTACCCAATAGAAATCAGGATTCTTAATTGTAAACTTCTTCATGTATTCCTGAAAGTGCATAAAAGAAAACAGGGAAATATTAAACAAAAATAACAGAATGCGACACATCAAATACATGGCCTCGTCATATGAATAGGATTTACATTGCTCTATAGGAATCACAAAACGAAGGATTATATCGAGTTTTAAGTTTCACTGAGGAAATACTTGAATCGAAGAAATTGAAAAAACAACAACAAAAAACACTTAGTATTTGTATTTTCAATCTGAACGGCACCTTACGCAACACGTGCAATGTCGGAAACCCCTAGGGTTCAGATACTTTGAACTACCGACCAAAGGGCAATCAGAAGCATCTAACGATACACAGGTTTTTCTGGCTTCAATCAAATAGTGGGATCGGCTATAACGTTTATTCCCACAGCTAAAGTGTGGAGCATGTTAATGGCATTGCAGCGCTACTTTGGATTTTCTGATACGCAGCCCCGTACGCTAAACATTATTCTTCGTCGTTTTAGCACATTTTAAACTTAGGTATTAGATAAACGGTTTCATTAGTAAGTACGTTAGTTGGAACGAATATACCATTGTAACACTTAATAATATATTCTACACTGAATTTAATCTACTTTGAGATTTTAGTAACTTTTGTCACAAAACACTCAAGCTTAAAGCAACAGTACTATCGAATTTCAGGCCACATATTGAAACTTCACTGTAAAAAAGCCAATAGCTTGTAGCAGTTGCTAGCCTATGAACTACGTACAAAGCTGTCCCCCCCCAAAAAAAAAATAGCGTAGCAGCATAAGAAATGCTATTATAGACGTGTAACAACAATACAACATGCATTTGTAAGGATATACTTAATAATAGTTACACAAAAGTATAACTTATATACAGGCCTAACGGCAGTTTAGCTTTCAGAGGAGTGCTAATATACAGGCCTAACGACAATTAAGCATTTAGGGGAGTGTTGATATACAGGCCTAACGACAGTTAAACTTTCAGGGGAGTGCTAATACATAGGCCTAACGACAATTAAGCGTTTAGGAGAGTGTTGATATACAGGCCTAACGACAGTTAAACTTTCAGAGGAGTGCTAATATATAGGCCTAACGACAATTAAGCGTTTAGGGGAGTGTTGATAGACAGGCCTAACGACAGTTAAACTTTAAGAGGAGTGCTAATACATAGGTATCTCTGATTATTAGTAACTAAAAATATAGGTAATTGTTGAAAACGGTCTTCCCTTAATTTTACAGTTTCCAGATTTTTTATTCTCAAAATTAATTAGTCATAAATGACCTAAAGGAAAAAATAGTTAAGCATATCTGACCGCAATAAAATACACAAATAGTGATACTGACGAAAACAAACAAAATGAGAAAAACAAGAAAATTCAATAAATATAATTATATATATATATATAAAACTAACAAATCTTCCATAAGAATAAATCTGCAATTGAACCTAAGACTTTAAAGATTTTGAAAACCAAAAGACTTAGAAAAATATTATACCTTTTTAATTAGATGTTAAATATATTCTTTCAAATCTCCAACAACATTTAAGTTTTAAACGAACTATAAACCAATAAATACACGTGTTTTAACTTTTTGTTTGGTATTACGTTCTTTAAAAATTTTCTGTTTAGATCGAGCAGTATTAAATGTAAACGCAAACTTGTACGTCAACTACCTTGATATGGGGGGTAGAGAAGAAATAAAAACCTAAGATTATAACGAGGCGATGTTCTACGAATTGTTATTAGACGCTAACGGGCATATACCAGTTGTTCTCATAGCTATACGATCATCTAAGCCTAATTATTAATTAATCACTAAATGTTTTTTTATTACTAGATATTAATTACTAATTAAATTATATCCTACTTTTCTGCTGCTAATCTGCTTCTGATTTCAAAGAAGTTCTGAGAAGGACTGTATATGTGTGTGGTGGGAGGGGCCGGGATTCGATCCTGGGTTGTTCTTGTTAGAAAAGCTTGTGTGTTACCCATGACAACGAATGATCTGTTGTTGTTTAGATTTCAGAAGTTGGCTGTATGTTTTTCTTGCTCAGTGCTTGGTAACATTGATAAGCTTCAAAGAATGTCTAACTAAAGAATTTAATGAAGAAAAACGTGCACAACGAGACATGGTGAAGCTGTACTTTACACCTTGGTTAATTACTGTCGAGATTAATGAGTTTCCAGATGATTTCTGTATGAAAAAAACCTACGGATTGTTTGACAGTCTAAACATAGTTTTTTGTGCTTGACGTAGTTTGGTACTAAATGTGACGTAATTCAAAATCAGAATGTTTGACTCTATATATGTGTGCGTGACGTAGTTAGAAAGCTGAGTGTTTGACTATATATGTTTATATATATATATATATTACCGTTACCATTATCGTTAATACGATATTTAATTCATTATTGTTTTACAGTGCTGATTCAATCGCCTGTTAACAATTAATGTAAACAGTAGTTTGTAAGCTATTTATTTATGTATGATGTAGTTATAAACAAATTTATACATATGAGCATGACGTAGTTAGAAAACTGACTGTTTGACTACATATGAGCATGACGTAGTTAGAAAACTGACTGTTTGACTCTACATATGAGCATGAAATAGTTAGAAAACTGACTGTTTGACTCCACATATGAGCATGAAATAATTAGAAAACTGACTGTTTGACTCTACATATGAGCATGACGTAGTTAGAAAACTGACTGTTTGACTCCACATATGAGCATGACTTAGTTAGAAAACTGACTGTTTGACTCTACATATGAGCATGAAATAGTTAGAAAACTGACTGTTTGACTCCACATATGAGCATGACTTAGTTATGAAATAGTGTAGAAACTTATATTCGTCAGTGAGGATGATAAACGTTTAAAATATTTCAAATATTTTTTAACTGGAAAAAAATAATATATTTTTTATTACATTCAATGACTGTGGTTTATGTGAGCTATAGTAAACACTTCCATGTAAAGAACACTTCAATCTATCTCATTCATAGAAGGATGAACATTGGATTATTACTGAGACAAATGCATTTGTACGATATGACCAGAGCTTGTGCATGAAAACCTGGTGAGTATTTGAAATAGTTACTCTAGCATAATAAACGTATTACTTCCTACCTGTCAACATTGGTGAAGTCGTGACGTTGGAGGAAAAAACCGACGGAGAAGGCTCACTGGACCCGTAAACAGCGACCGGAGAGAAATCCGGAGGCCTCTGAGGAGAGACTGCTGCTGATGCCGGGGCGTGAGGAAAGTGTACCATGTCGGACACAGCGGTTGACGGGAAAGTAGGCGTGCCGACGGACGAGAGAAAGGGACCAATTATGCTGGATCGGAGAGAGGGTGCCAGTGGGTGTGCTGATGGCACAACGGGTGGCGATACGGAACGTTTTGGAACGCTCAAGTCCATTAAAATTGTCGGACGGACGAGGTGAGGACGATTCAAGAAAATTGTCGTGGTCTGAGACGGGTCGTCATAGGCTTCTCGTCAAGGTAATCACAGCTTGGTTGAAATACGGATTGAACTAAGGAAGAGTAATAATTTAGTTCTTGACCACCGAGTTCACTGGAGATGACAGCAGACAAGTGTTCCTTGACCACTGGGTTCACTAGAGATGACAACAGACAATTGTTCCCTTGACCACTGGGCTCACTAAAGATGACAAACACAAGTGTTCCTTTGCCCACTAGATTCACTGAAGATGACAGCAGACAAGTGTTACCTTGACCACTGAGTTCACTGGAGATGACAGCAGACAAGTGTTCCCTTGACCACCGGTTTCACTGGAGATGACAGAAGACAAGTATTCCCAATGCTCGTTTTTCGGACAGGTGTATCTCGGCTAGCTACGAGAAGAGCAAGTGTCCTCTTAAGTCAGTACGACGTCCCGTTAATGTTCATAACGCAATTAGACCGAGTGTGGTTTTCATTGGCTTTTTGTGGCACCCAACCTGAAGGCGTCTCTTCGGCTCCACCTGTCGAGAAACAGAACGAGAGTATAGTGAGAAAACCAGTAGCTCGTGCTTTGCACTCACCGCCTCAGGCCTTAACATTAACTGTTCAGCCAAGTTTCTTGCCGAGCAAAACTGCACGCTGTTAGTGAACGACATTCAAAAACGTTCACGACTCTGTGGCGACTTGCTACCTGGAAATTGGTTTTGAAAACCAGTCTGCTTGAAACATGTCACTTTGAGTGACTGAGAATGGAAGTAACCTTGATGGTGTAAACATCCTACTTCAGCAGATAAGAAGGCCAAACGAATGTAAAGCGTAATACAAGTGTTCCTTTATTTAATTCTTCCCTACGTTAAGTATGGCACTAAATTAATTTTCTTTTAAATCGTTAAGTTATTGACTGAAGCGAGACAAAAACTGTTTGACACGTTAAATTACAATTACTGGTAGAACACATTAATTCAGGGAAGTAAAACGCCTTTTAAATTATTATTATTATTTCATTAAAGGTAAAGCACCACAATAATTAGCTTAAAGTTTGAAGGTTTGTTATATGGTTTGTAACTCTTGTCTTAAAAACATGCTCCGCACATTGGGACTGTGGATGCACTATAATAGTGACGATACAACAAGTGAACCAAGGATTAATGGCGGTGTGCTGTTAGCTCTTTTTTGGAGCTTAGCGCGAAGATTCTGATTAGAAACGAAGTATTCACACCCAACTCTTGCGCTATTCTAATCGAATAATGGGCTTTAACTGTTTCTCTTATAACACACACACACGCCCCCAA